GTCATCTGGAATGTGCTTTAAAATATCCGACTTAAATTTAGTTTTTGGAAGTATGCTAGTTACCGCCTACTGATCCCTAACCTATCTGATCCCTAACCCATCTAAAACACAGACATGTGATTTTCATCTCAAGAACAGACAAGCATCTTGAACTCTGAGGATCACCTGGGAAGGAATCCCACTGGAGAATTGCAGCACACCCAAATACCTGGGAGCAACTCTGGACCATGCTCTTACCTACAAGAAGCACTGCCTGAACATCAAGCAAAAAGTGGGTGCTAGAAACAATATCATACAAGCTGACTGGCACAACCTGGGGATCACAAGCAGATACAGTGAAGACATCTGCCCTTGCGCTATGCTACTCTGCTGCTGAGTATGCATGCCCAGTGTGGAACACATCTCACCACACTAAAACAGTGGATGTGGCTCTTAATGACACATGCCGCATTATCACAGGGTGTCAGCGCCCTACACCACTGGAGAAATTACACTGTTTAGCCGGTATTGCACCACCTGACATCCACAAGGAAGTAGCAGCCAATAGTGAAAGGACCAAGGCAGAGACATCTCCAGCTCATCCCTTGTTTGGGTATCAGCCAGCACGTCAACGACTTAAATCAAGAAACAGTTTTTTAAGATCTACAGAGACACTCGCTGAAACACCTCAGCAAGCGAGAGTCCAAAAGTGGCAGGCTCAAACCCAGAACCTCAATCAATGGCTGATACCAAATGAGAGACTCCCCCCTGGACACACAGAAAACGGGGCGACTTGGAAAGCGCTGAACAGACTGCGCTCTGGCACCACGAGATGCAGAGCCAACCTCAAGAGTGTGGAGAAGAGCAAACCGCAGACCACCTGCTGCAATGCAACCTGAGCCCTGCCACATGCACAATGGAGGACCTTCTTGCAGCAACACCAGAGGCACTCCAAGTGGCCAGCTACTGGTCAAAGGACATTTAATCAACCACCAAGCTTGCAAACTCTGTTTTGTCTGTTTGTTAAAAATTTGTTAAAAATGTAATACAATTGTCTGGTTGCTACTGACACAATAAATAAATAAATAAATAACCGCCTTTATACGCTAACAATTTACAACTTTGATACATATATATATTTAAAATGGTGAAATGTAGGCCTTGGAAAAAGTAATCTACATAATAGGTTCACGTTCTAACTACTGCAGATTCCCCATTATTATTCAGTTTGTTGTGATTTAAAAAAAAGTTATACTACTTAGCTCAGTGATATTCCCAAATGCGAGTTTAACAAGGAACGGATAGATTTTTGGGGGTACAGGATTTAGCACAAGGGCATTGCAATGGACCCCGCAAAGGTGGAAGACATGAGGGGATGGGAACCTCCAAGGAAGCGCAGACAACTGCAGTCCTTCCTAGGATTTGTGAACTTTTACAGGACGTTCATAAAAGACTTTGCCCAACTCACACTGCCCTTCATTGATCTATTGAAGACCTAGGGGAGGGAGGAAACGGCCAAGGTAAAGTCCCCGGGAGCGAAGCTGACTTGGACACTAGAATGCCAAGAAGCTTTTGAAAATCTGAAGAAGAGGTTCACAGAGGAGCCTGTGCAAGCCCACCCAGACATGAACAAACAGTTTGTAGTGCACTGCGATGCTTCAGACAGTGCATATGGGGCGGTTTTGCTACAAAAAGACTTAGAGGACAACTTGAGGTTTTGCAGTTTCCTATCAAAGAAATTTAGCGAGACAGAAAAGAACTGGCCAATTTGGGAAAAGGAAGCGCTGACTATACTGAAAGCATTAGAAAGCTGGAGGCATTTCTTAGAAGGAAGCGACACCCCTTTTGAGGTGTGGACTGACCATAAAAACCTGCAATACATCAGGTCGCCCCGCAAGTTATCAACAAAGCAGGTTAGATGGTCGCAATTCTTCAGTCATTTTGACTTCAAGCTCAGGTTTTTTAAAGGGAAAGATAACATTATTTAATGTTTCAGAACAAGTGCTCTAATAATTAACTACTTACATTAAAATTTAATTTGCACAAAACTACAATGTAAACATAAAATAATTTGTAAAATATTGTTGCACTGTTTTACATAGTTGGATTTTTGGAGTAAATTTTTAATTCATTTTTGATGCTCAGATTATGGTTCTAATAAGAGTTTACTATTGTTTGTTAGCACTCCTAAGTTACTATCCATTCAACCTTACAGAAGAGGAGTGGGGAAAAGATTACAGAACTGCAGAGTTGGAAGGGATCCTAAGGGCCATCTAGTCCAGTGGTTCCCAACCTGTAGTCCGTGGACACCAGTGGTCCGCAAAAACTAAAATATGGTCCACAGCCTCACCATTACTACACTGCTGCAATGAGAGCGACTGGTCTTGTGAAATCCTCTACAGTGCCGAGGCTTATTAAATATAGCTTTCTGTGGGCAAGCAGATGGCAACTACTGAATTAGAGATGATATGGTCTATCCAATGCAGTTTTCTGAATCAGCACCCCAAGTAACCAAACCAAATCTAAAGTTGACCAAAAATTGTTTCATAACTTTTTTGGTACTAATGTTGGAGAGTGGTCCCTGGTCAAAGTGGTCCTTGGTCAAAGTGATTCCTGGTCAAGTGGTCCCTGGTCAAAAAGGGTTGGGAACCACTGATCTAGTCAAACTCATTGCCATGCATGAATATATAGCTAAAGCACACTCAAGAGGGTGGTCATACAACTTCTGTTTTAAAACTTGTAATGAAGTAGGGTCCACTGCCTTCTGAGTTAGTTTGTTCCACTCTCGGGCAGCTATTATCCTCAGAAACTTCTTCCTAATGTTTAGGTATAATATTTTTTTGTAGTGCCATGTCCAAGTTCACTTTATTACAGTCAATGACCAGCTTGAGAGAAGAGGGACACAGTTGTGTAGTGTGAATCAATTGGTTCATGTCCTTGGAGCAGCAGAAGACAAGAACATATAGGTTCTTAAGAAAATATATCTCATAGAAAGGCAAAATATTTTCAGGCTGGATGTCCTAGAGAAGGCATGGGCAAACTTCAGCTCTCCAGGTGTTTTGGACTTCAATCTCAGCTAGCTTTCCAGTTGTTAGGAAATGTAGGAGTTGGTCCAAAACATCTGGAGGACCAAAGTGTGTCCATGCCTGTTCTAGAGCAAGGGTGGAAATGCATAGCACTCCAGATGTTGTTGGATTCCACCTCTCATCATTTTCTATCTTTTACTATGTTAACTAAGGCTGCTGAATCTTGCAGCCAAACAACATCCAGAGGATCGCCGTTTCTAATCCTTTTCTAGAGAAGCATTGTAATGTAAAAGGTACATTTTAGAATTTTACAAGGTAAAATATATCCCTTAAAAAATCTGTTGAGAACTGTTGACCCATGAGTGGATAAAACTCAAGAACAGTCGCATTATTAGCCCCACATTAGTACATATATTATCAGTTAGATGGATTGCATTGTAACATGGAATATTTGGTGGCATACAATGTTTCTCCTCTACATGATGAGGTAGCATGATGTAGTGGTTTGAGTGTTGAGACTGAGAGACAAGGATCTGGATATACACAGACAGCCTCATCAGACGGGTAAAATTATCTGTCGTATGACACTTCCAGTCACTTGTGGCACAGAACCCGCTGGCTCCCATCCTACAATGTTGACCTACTTCCAGTGGGGATCCATGCCACAAGTGAAGTTGAAGCTTGGTAAGCTGCCACTGTGCCAACATGGGAGGCTTCTTGTGTTGCATGGGAAACAATGGGGGGGGGGAGGCCAAGCAGTGATGGGGTAAGAGGGAGGGTGGGCGATGCAGGGTGCAGGGCGACGGGGTTCCCCCTGCCAGGCCCTGCTATTATTTGTTCAGAATCCTACTCTGAACAAATCTTGCTGATTTTTGTGTGTGAGTGTGTCAGGAGTGACTTGAGAAACTGTAAGTTGCTTCCGGTGTGAGAGAATTGGCCATCTGCAAGGACGTTGCCCAGGGGATGCCTGGATTTTTTTGGGATGTTTTACCAGTCTTGTGGGAGGCTTCTCTCATGGGGAGCCGGAGCTGACAGAGGGAGCTCATCTGCGCTCTCCCAGATTCAAACCTGTGACCTGTCGGTCTTCAGTTCTGCCGGAACAAGGATTTAACCTATTGCACTAATGGGGGTTGCTATCTTGCTGATAAATCCCCATGACAGGTTCACCTTTGGGTTACCATAAGACTGAAATGACTTCAGTCTTATGGTAACCCAAAGGTGAACCTGTCATGGGGATTTATGACTTCAAGGCCACAGCAGCCTTTTCTAGGTAAAGACAAATCATCTTGCTCTACATTACTGGGGAAACTGAAACAAATAACTATTTGTCCACACTGCTTATGGAAACCCACTTTTCCCATATTCTGTAGCTTGAGTTAACATAGGACCAAAACATTCTAAAGGAATGTTACTCTTCATGTAAATTGAATGTAACAATGAACTCCAAAACTCATACTCTCTCCTCTCCCCATGACGAGTTCTGACATTCAGCGGTTGCTCCGCCTTGTTCACTTCAAATCAGCACTTTTCGAAGATGATAACGGAAAGATAGAATACAATTCTGTGTCAGCATGAGATGCATACAGAAATATTATCTACTCATATCTAGCCTCTAAGGTCTCATTTTTCCATTATATTAGTGAAAGATGGGTAGGAGTTAAATTTGCGCGGATCGATCTAATTATAGACATTCTTAATGTCTTATTTTACCTTTCAAAATAAAGAAAGTGGACTCCCAAATGGGAAGTATCTGGACACATATATGGAAATGAAATCTTAAGAAATGCTTGCCTTCATAGTTCTAGGTTCTCTCTGGAATTGTCAAGCATCTATAATTAAATTACTAAAAGCAGCTAGATGCCAGTACTAATAAGTTCCAATGAAATTATTAAGAGTTCAGACTGTGTCCTACAAGATGTGTGTGTGCTTAATGGTAACATTTTAACAACCTAAACTATAACAGTTTATTACTTTTGATACAAAATATTATCTCACCTAAGTTGCAGTTCCCCAGCCGTGAGCTGTTTCATATATGTCTAATCGCAAGTCTTGTGTCTGCATCAGTCTGCAAATTTAAAAACAAGCACACATAATCTTACTTTTATATACATATCGAAATATACATATTATGTGTTATTTCTCCTAAAACACTCATTTTTGTAGACATATCTGAGCTTAAAGCAACTCACAATGTCACTTTATAAAGAACTATTTCAAGTTAATTCATATGATACATTAAGCATCAACCACAGCTGAGGTGACATTAATATTATGGAGTGCATATATAAGTTTGAAGCATACAGAAAAATGAAGAGAAAAATGAGAGAGGGATGAAAAGTTTGGGGGAACTGCTAGCAAGTTTATTCACCTTGGGCTTATTTCAAAATGGTCATGTGGTATTGAGGAAAATAATGAAATTGGACATAGGGTGCTCATGCAATCGTAATAGGATTGCGCATTTCAGCTGAACCTCAATCCGTGTCTGCTGGCCGAATTTCAGGAGACCCCCAGACCCTTTTTCACATGCCTCCTGAAAATGGGCAGGTAGCGAAGCACCATTTTTGGTTCCACAGCTGAAAAATGTGGTTAGATCTGGCCCATTGGCAGCAATGGGTGGACTTCCCAGGCTCCCCTTGCCCTCATTTTTGCGGCTATTGGGATGATAATGGCCACACTTGGGAGGACACATCTACCACTGTTAGCCCACCAAATTTCATAACGTTTGGGTCATCTCCTGATTTTAAAGAATTTCTTTTCTTTTTAGAAATAAAATCTCCTTAAATATTTCCCCAAAAGATATCTCCCCGCTGGCCCCACCCTATAACTTCTCCAGGAGCAGCAGCAGGGCACCATTCCTTCCTGCCAAATATCAAAGAAGCACTTCTTCATCACACAGCCCAGTGCCCCCCTATTATACTTTCTTTTTTACTAATAAAAAAACCAGTAAGCAACTTATTTTTTGCACTTTCCCAACTCCCAGTCCCACTAAATAAAAAGAATCAAGAAAATCAAGAAAAATCAAGGAAAATAAAAAAAGATTCAATGTTAGAGAGAGCCCAAGCCAAGCCAAAAAATAAAGCTGAAAACAAGCAGCAAGGCAATTGGACTGAAGTACCTCTCTAGAGCCATGACACAACTGGGAGCAATGGAGGCTCTTGCCCCATTAAATAGACACAGCTTGCATAAGACACATCACAGTGTTCTTCTTTTCTGATTGGCCCAACAGGCAAAGCTCACAGAGAAACCCCGTGTGAGCACACAGCAGCCTCTTCACATGCTGCATGATGCTGAATAGGAGAGGAGAAACCATGACTGGCTGCTACATGGTCCATTACGGCTGAAAAAAAACATGGTGGCTGAGTCCTTACTGTTATGGCAAGCTGAATTGGTCAAAGGGAACGGACCAAACTGAATCTGTGCACAAGTCTAATTCATATCGGCAGAAAAAATGAAGGAAGGTTCTGTTGAAGTAGAACTGACACTACTTTGGGTACGGACAGACTGGTCTCACCATTTTATGTATCTTCACTGAAAAATTCATTGTGAATTAATTTGCTTCTAAAGTGACTGGCTTGACCTTGAAGGAGCTGGGGGTGGTGATGGCCGACAGGGAGCTCTGGCGTGGGCTGGTCCATTAGGTCACGAAGAGTCAGAAGCGACTGAATGAATAAACTACAACAAAGTACTCTGAAGCTACAGCTATAGCTACTGCAATGAATGCTGAGCCATAACTTCCAGGGAAACACACAAATAAGAGGAAACAATTCCATGATTAATTTCTCATAAAGTGACAGAAATATAGAAGATCAATATTTTGAATTTGTTTGTTGAAATCTAATTTCCAGCCATAAAAATAACTTTAAAGCCATAAAGTGCTTTGATTTGAATTTTGGGTTTCTGTGGAGATGCAACAAGATGAATGGATGTCACAAGGCAGAAACATGCTGCTGTCTCAATAGACCTTGGAACCACTGTACATCTTTGAAAATCATGATCTAATATTTCAAGTACCGTTTTCATTGCCCGGTATTGTGCCGGTTTCATCTCGTATCGGTCAGTCCAATTTTGGTGGATTGGAAGTCTGAAGAGGAATAGCCAATACAATCAATGCCAAGGAATGCTGTGAGTTGCAATCTGACTAAATCTGAACAGCTGCAATAATCCCACCCCCTTCCATGCAGAGAGAATTTCTGCTCCAATTTGTTCATTGTTACATCACTTGAAGTGGTTCAGTAAGAGCAGCATGCACTGTTTGCTTTATTGCCACATGATTGCTGCTGTTGCATCATGAAACACAGCTTCAGGACTCGTCTTTGCACCTGGGGGGAAATGTTCTTGAAAAGACACCCAGATGTAACCAATATAGACTGAGATAATCCTGAAGAGAGATTGATGGAGTACACAAAATCCAGCAGTGATAAATATGGCCTGGAAAAATACCAATGGGGTCATCAGTTTATCAGTTTATCAGTCATTTAGCTAGAAGGACCATCAGGCAGTCTGGGATTTACAACTCAAATCCAATTATTATTTTGAAAAGAGCTCTTTGCTGCCGTCTTTTCTTTTAACACTCTAAACAATTAGGTGACAACCTCACCCACATCCTCCAAGTTATTTATGTATAAATTTGCAAAATTTTGATACTGAAGTATGCTTTGCAATTCTTTTAGACCTTCTCAGCATTAACTGAGCTTTGAAATTACAAAAGCTACATTTGGGCTGGGGAGACATTGGAGGAAGAAACAGCTCCTCTGCTCTCCCTGTAGCAGCTTTCTAGCCACAGCAGGGAGGGCTTGTCCTTCTATTGTGCTTGAACCTATCGGTGCCATTACTGTTTCTTCATGCACCCAGCAGGCTCACTCCTGGAGCATGTTGGGTTACATAGTTTGCCCTTATCCCAGCAGGCAAAGCAGAAGTAGAGCACAGCGATAATTGAATTTCAAGAAAATTGTTTCTTTTTGCCTTCCTTCCTCCCATACTTTCCCCCTTTTCTTTCTCTTCTTTCCTTCTTGCCTTCCTTCTACCCACTCCCTCTCTTTCTTCTCCCTCTCTTTCTTCTCCATCTCTTTCTCTTTCTTTTTTTCTTTCCTTCCTTCCTTCCCCTCATACACATGTCACCTATCAACAACCAATCTACTTCACACCCTTTATTTCCTAGTCATATGACAGAGGGTTACTTCATCTATCCACAGCCACTCCATTTTCTTACTTTTCTTTCCCTTTGAGAAGGGAGACAAAATGAGATGTGATGGCATGCCGGGAATGGAAAGAAAACTATACGTGTCCGGCTATTTTTCCAGTCACCATCGGTATGCCCTATATGTACTTTAATTTCCCAAAATAAGACTCTGGAGATGAGACTAAATTTAACCAATTAAGTTTACTGAAGCAATCAAAGTGAATCAAAACAAGGTAGTACAAAGGCGCAATTTGATTACTAAAATGACACAGGATTAGAATAATGAAGTACTGATATAAGGTATAAACTCTGAGGTAAGTATAGATATCAGGAGACTATGAGTAATAAAGATGGTATGTGCTCTGAGGTAAAGAATAAAACTATATTCTATGAGGCAAGTACTGCTCACATCTATGAGGCAAATACCGTTATTATCTAAGACATGTACATCTATGATCTTTGAAGCATGCACTACTCTAATATATAAGGCATGTACAGCTTAAAGTCTTTGGGGCAAATACATGCTTAGGATTGCCTGTTTCAGATCGCAAGCCAGACCTGACACTTTCTGGCTCTGCCAAAGAAAGAATGGAGGGAAAAAGTCCTTCCACCAAGCTCTGATCCAGAAGGGCTGAACCACTAGAGCTCGGCCTCTAGGGGGATCCCAAGCTCCTCCCCCAAAACTCAGCAAATGGAACAGTCCACCTCCAAGAGAGCAAACAAGGAAATGAACAGAGGAGTAAAAACTAGGCTGAGACTTCACATGAGATATATATTTATATTTGTCCTTTTTTGTTCTTAAATGCTGAAATTGCACAACCAATCTAACGACAACAAACATAAATTAAGGAGCATCAATTGTGCAGAAAGGGTTTGCAGAAGTATGAATGCAAGCATGAATTGGTGAATCAATGTAATTAAGGAGCACAGAGAGGTGCAATATCAAGGAGACTCAGTATGGTATGCGCCCACTATCAGTGATAATGCAAGAGCAGTGGGATACCTGGTTCATACATGTAAAGTCCTCAGTTTCACATCTCACATGGATCTTCTTTCTGTAATTTTAGTATTCACATTGAAATTGGAAAAAATGAATCAAAAGTTTGAAAAATAAAAATGAGGAAGAGCTATTCCACCACTTAATATAGGAAGAGAAATCTGGTAACAGCTCCGCATAAACAGCTTGAACTCAACATACTGTGCATACATTTTAAATGGTGCTGAAAGCATAGAGTTCCATTGTAACAAGAAATGAGCTGAGATAAATTTCTCGGCATATATCCATTTGTTTTCTTCTCTGTAGAACCTGGATAGAGGTAGTGTTCTAATGGGGATTCCCTCAGGAAAGAAGTAATTCATTTAGATTTGATTAGCTTCATTTTTTTAAAAAAACCTTAATAGTTAAATTTGCTATCTATCTCCCATTATTGAGAGGTCTGTCTTCTCTATGGTTAAATAAACAACTCTTTATTTTTTGATATCTCATTTGTTCAAAATGTAACACTTCCCAATTGCTGATAATATATACTGCCCTATTTTTAGACACATTTCTCTCACAAACTTCATTAGGTAGCATATAACAGTCTGAGAAATTGTTTCAACATAGGTGGGGAGCAGAAATGTGTAAGAAAAAGAAGAATGACACAATAAAAGAACTGGTATAGTGCAGAACTAAAAAAACCTGAGCTATGAGTCAGAACGAGTCCATCTTAGCCATATGCTAACTAGGTAGCCTTAGGCAAGTCTCAACTCACCTATAAGCAGGGAGTGATAACATTCATCTATCTCACATCATGGTCGTCTTTAAAAGATAAGATACATGAAACATTTTTATCAATATACATATGAAATGAACTTATTCTGCATCAGACATCACTTTCCCTGTA